GGATGGGAGACTGTGATGAAGTGATTCATCGCGGTCAGCTGGCTTCTTCTTTAGATTGTTCTTTTTTCACGTACAGTGCCCTGAGATAACGTATGTTGTGTCTTGGCGCTATATACGTAAATAAACTGAATTGAATTGAATTAAACAAAAAAAGACGTYTTGATTTCTGAAATATATGTTTCAGGTAGTCAGTAATTCATTGTAGATATCTTAAATTAGAGACTCCATACAACTTATTGGAAAATCTGACGTCATTTATACTGTTCAGAATGTAATCAGAGATATCTTAATTAACTACGTATCTCTAGTCATAAACTAATTTCAGATATGTGGAATGTAAATGTGTTCAAGATGATTAAGTGCCAAAACGGCCTGCCATACCCATCAGCGTTTGCAGCGCCGACGTCACTTGCTCAGCCCAGCTGCTGACGGGGAGATGTTGTTTTAGGAAGAGGGTTTATATTTCTAGGGGTCTTCATTTTCACACACTTATCAGACGGTGGAACAGATTTGATGTGTTCCCGCTGCGAGTCGGCACCAGACTCTCCGGCACATTTTTACAGCAGATTGATATATATCGAATTGTTGTCCAGCACTGATTGATGTACAGTTGTAAGTTTTATTATGCAGAAATATTTACACTTAAAAAAAAAACAGTGGTTCGGGTGATGCTAAAATAAAGCTCACTCTGCAAATGATCTTTTGTTTCAGCTACCCTCTTTGCCAGCCTCCTCATTCGACCGCCTCCCAACTTGGTGGGCAGGCAGACGGCGCATGACCGACAGAGAGCCATCAACTTTATTCTGGGTTTCCTYATGGCCGGAGACGAAGAGTAGCCGAGGATGAGTCGCCACGGCTGACCTGGACCCCCGTCACACTAGCTGCTTCACCTGGACTCTCTGCGCCACCTGTTGGAGACCAGCACAGCTACGTCTCACCCTCTCTGACACCAGAGGTACCAAACTGAACTCTTAGCTGGTGTCATATCTTCGGTTGTCGACACAMAACGGCCCAGTCGCTGAAGCTTCTGGGAGAAGTCTGAACTGATGCCTGTGCACTTTTTYTCTCGACCTAAAGGACGTGTGCCTCCGGACCCGTCTTGTCCTCACTGTCAGCTGACTCTTCTTGTTGTAGGTGCTGATGCCAAATTAACCCCTGAATGGTGAGAGGCGCGAATGTGAAAACACTACGAGTCCGTAAAGGCCAGAAAGAAAGATTTAATTACACTAAAGACAATAAGTAGATTGAATAATGTGTACAAATATACTGTTCAAAGCCTCAAGTAGTTTAAAACGGGATCATTAGAGTTGAGTAACTAAGAMTGTTTTTGCTTTAAATCATGACAATCATTTGTTGCTGTATTTGAGTTGAAACCGATAAAATACCTTTGAAATTTATTAGTTAACATATCTGTAGTATTCTAACTGCTATTTATATATATTTTCTTTGAGGTTTGCACCATTTTATTGTTTATTTTTTTCTTTCATTTTTCTTTCTGTTTAATTTTGTAACTGTATTACTTTAAAAAAAACAGATTATCATTTTCATATAGAAAACCGTTCCTCGTGAACGTTTGCAGTGTTTTTGTCAGATTCCTTGGWGTTACAAAGGAAGTCTGTTAACACCCTGATTTCCTGGTCAGCCGGAATCAAAAACAGATCCGCCCCTCTTGAGGTTCTGAAACRATGTAAATAGTGAGTTTCCCGTTCTGTAGGTGTTTGACTGTGTGGTGGTGCAACTCTGTGATGGTGTCTACAGTTTGTGTCTGTCTGTTTACACGTCTCTGCTCCATCTCATAAACGCTAATTTTGTTTGTTTTACATCATTGTAAAGCTGTGACCAGTGGTGGGCACAGTTCTGCTAATCCGCTAATAGCAGAACTAGCATCTCATATCGCAGATTAGCATTTTTACCAACTTTGGAAATCATTAGCAGACCAATTAGCTTCCATTAAATTAGCTTCTGCTAAATTTAAGTCCATTAAAATATTCACTAATTGAAAACTTTCTATTTTTATGTCCTTTATCCCAAAATTAATAAAAACTATCCTCTCGTACAAGCAGTGCTAAACAAGTCAGGCACCGTGTGTGTGTAGCATGTAGCATTTAGCAGCTAAACTTCAAAATAAGAGCATCAAAAAGAAATAAAATAACATTTAATAATATTTAAATAACAAATACAACAAACTTATATGTTTAAAAAAGTGTTGCTCGACTAACTATTAAAATACAAACTCGATTAAAAAATGCTTTTTATCTGAAAGGGTTTAACTAAAAGTATCACAGGTTAGACAGAGCTATAACTCTGGTTTGGATTGGCCAGTTTGCTACGAATGATCCCGCCCACCTTCAAATTGAACCAATAGAACACTAACAATAGTTCCAATAACTTAGCCGTTAGTGTCAGTGGAGCTAAGATTCTTATTTGGCGGGTTAGTGGTTAGTGAAGCTAACTTTTTGGTTAGCTGTGCTCACCACTGGCCATGACACAATCTGAATGAAGCTCTTTAAAGTGCTGCAGCATGCTTAAGGGAGAAAATTCTTYCTTTCTCAGTTGTGCCAGAGGGGGATTGTTTTTTTTTTTCTCGTCTGCCCTTGTTGCAAAACCCAGGCGGTTATAGAATTAAGGAAGTTTCCTGCTGTGTTTAATGAATATTTCCTCTTTAGGAGTTTCACTCAACAGATGTCAGGATTAGTTTCACAATCATCACACTCATTTCGCCTGTTTGGCATCTTTTATTGAATCCCGGAAAACACGAGGTTTGTTTTCTGATTTCTTTTTTTGTAGGAATTCAGAAAATTCTTCCTGGAGTTTAATTGTAATTGCAAATTTCTTTCTGTTCACTTGCAGTCAACACTCAAAATTTCTTTGTCGAAGTGGAAATTTGCCAAAACGGTGTCCAAATCTCGTGAAAGTATTTCTTCTACATAAATCTTGATTAAAACTCGGAAAAGCAAAACATTTTTTTAACTTTAAAATATGACAAACAAAACAACAATGAACAATCGTTTGTTTAGTTGTTTCTGTATTGATGTCGCGGTGTGAGTTCRTTGCTTTTGTTTTTCAGTCGGTACATTTGGAATGTTTTCAGCTTTACAGTTGTTGTTTTTTTTGGTACTTTTAATTTATTTAAAAAGAAATAAACTGTAAAAAGCCTCCATGCKCTTCATTTCAACTCGTTTATTTGTAGCAGCTGCCCAGTAGATTGAGTAGTTTACTCCTCGGCTTCGTGTGAAATCTTTCACGGCTGATGTTTGTGTTTTTGTTGGAGAGCCTCACCTCGATGCTACATTCTTATCCTCTGCCATTATAAAACCACCTCCCAGCTGCTGCCTGGTGAGTTTAATCCTGRTTTTATCCAACATCATGGCCATGCTCAGAGTCTCTTCTTACCGCAAAATGTTTGAGGACCACAGGTGGGGTGGAAACGGAGGGYTGGGGGCGCCGTGTGCCGGACAGTACCGGGCCTCTGTCAGGTCAGTGTTGATTCACGCACAGTACTTTTAAATCTTTAGGTTTTTTTAACACAAATCTACAACGGAGTATTAGAGCCAGACTAAGAATTTAATTCTTCTATTATGAGAATGAAGTCAAAATGCAAGAATAATGGCTTTGAAATAGACACAAGCGTTTCAAAGTCCTGTTGCTGATAACAATTCAATGCTGATGTGTTAAAAGATTTATTTCCTTATTTGTAAAAATTATACCAAAATAAAACTCCACAAGATGTTCAACGTTCTTCCTTTTAAAGCGGAGGTAAGATTGCTTTTCACTGTCGGAGTTCTTGATTTTATTCCTGTGTAATATTATGAATTTATTCTCATATTATTATGACTATTCCCAAAATATTAAAAATTTAATCTTTTATTATTATGAATTTATTCTCATATTATTATGACTATTCCCAAAATATTAAAAATTTAATCTTTTATTATTATGAATTTATTCTCATATTATTATAACTTTATTTTTGTA